GCTAATGGGGCCTCCCTCTGCCGCCACGCTGCCACCACGCGATTTCTGTTCTCATCCTGAAGCAAAGTTCTTAACCCAAGGTACTATTTCTGGGTTAGCAGAGTCTGTAACCTGAAGCATCTGTAACCCGAGGTACCACTGTATCTTCATAGCTTCACCCAAAGAAACAGAGACAAAAGATCTCCCTCCTCAAAAAAATACTTAATTTTTTATTTCACCCATTATAAATAGCCGCCATCAAAGTTCCTTCTTGTTTTGATTTTTCCAAATTGTGTTTTAGTGCTGGAAGCGTATTCCTGAAAGGGGAAAAATGCCGAGTCATCCATGTACTCCTGTGATGCGGCACATAAGGCAAACATATTCAGCCTTGGGGGGAAACGGGCAGGAGCAGGAAGTAAAGCAAAACAACACTAAGGGAAGTGTAAATTATCTTTTCTTGTATATAATTACCTCTTAAAATACTTGACTGTGACTGCTCACCAAAGTTTTCTGTTCTTGGCAAACATCATTGGCACACAGAAGCTCACTCAATGATAATTCCCAATGTTTTATATGACAAAAGTCTCAAGCACTTGGAAGCCAAATTTGAATCTATTTTTTAAAAAAAACATTTTTATTGGTTTTTCCATGTATACATCCTCTAACAATATTTCTCTAACAATTTTCCATATCCCCCCCCCCCCCCCGCTCCTCCCCTGGACTTCCCTCATTTTCCCATTTTGTTTTATTTCCGTATTACTCACCCTTCATGTTTTTTCCAAAATTTCCCCAATACATATAGTCTTACTTTTTGTTATATACAATTGTGATTGTTTATTCAAACCCTGCCAATGTGTCCAATTCTTTATGTTGCCTCTTCATATACATTGTAAATGGTTCCCATTCTCTTTTAAAGTCTTTGTTATCCTTTTCATGTAATTTATCTGTTAATTTTGCCAGTTCTGCATATTCCATAAGTTTCCCTTGCCGTTGTTCTGTCGTTGGTATTTCTTCTGTCTTCCAAGCTTGTGCTAATATAATTCTTGTCGCTGTTGTTACATACATGTAATGGGTTTAGGGGTTGCTCGTGCGTAAGTTGCCGCCACTCCTGGCTAGGTTACCTGGTTAACCCTTTCTGACTGAACAGCCTCCAGCATCGTGACTGTCTCAGTCGCTGGCAGAATCCGTCAGTGGGCGTTTCTTAAACCTTTTCCAGCATAAAAGTTGTTTGACGCCAAGTCTCCTCCTTACTCTCCCTGCGCGGAAGTCTTCTGCGCAGGGAGGGTGTGGGCAGCGGAGTACCCGTACTCTCTCCGCTGGTCTCCAGGGAAGAGTCTTGGAGCCTCCTCCCTGATTCCCCCACCTGCCCCCCTTCTCCACTGGTGTTACGCTGATTTCCTTCCCCAGCAGATGGGCTGCCTCTCTCCCTACTGGGACCCTCTCCTGCATCCCTTTGGAGCCTTCCCTCCGCCTCTAGCTCCGATGGCAGTTCCCTGACAATACATAAATAATTTCCAATTTTCTTTTTTTAAATCTTGATCTAAAGTTCCTAATTTGAATCTAAAAAACCCCTGCAGCCAACAAAACTGTGTGTCAGCTGATATCATTCTGTAGCCGCCACATTCCTTGTGTCCTTGCCTCAAGCATCCTTCACTATCTATATTTCAAGTCCATATATCTCAGTCTGAGGCCTGCTCTGCTTCCTCACTTCCTAGGGTCTCAGCCCTGACATATGCTTGTAACATAAAGCAAATCCTGTTCTGGCAACTTCCCTTGCAAAAACTAAACTGCAACCATTCTGACAGCTTTCCCCCCTGGGCACTTGTAATACTGGTGACCACATGAACTGCAGCATGGTGACAGCTTACAATATTATTATATACTAAGACCAGCAACAAATACGCACACTTTCACAACTCTCAGCAAACCCAAAGAACATTTTGCCAAACTTGATAATCAACTTTTCCTTTTCATGTACTGTCTTTAGGAAAGCTGTAAGGTGTTGAATTGTTTTATTTTATTTGTTTTATATTTGCTGATTCATTTTGTACTCTATATATTTCATTTCATTGCTGTATATTGACAAATAACATCGCAGTGATGACAAGCAGATAACTAGCGTGGGGGCCGACTTCAAAAATTTACTGGGGGCAATATCACAATTTTTCCATAGTAGGAAGGCAAACATACTCATTTCAGAGAGCTAGTTCTGCATAAAGCATATCAAAGCCAGCCAGTTGTGTTTTGTTCTGTGAAGACAGCTCACTTGGAGACTGTAATATTCTCACTTAAGAATATTACAATCATTGTTTGGTAAGATGATCCCTAGAACACTCCACAAAGGTTTGAGAAACTCCCCTATCTATGCAGGGTGTGGATTTGTAAATGTCAAATGTGTTTGTCTATGGTTCACTCTGCCATTGCAACCAATAGTCCCAGAGCCAAGATGGTGGGCTGGATATTCACTCACTTGGCGACTCCTCTGTCTCCTCCTTCTCCATCCACTTCTAGGTTTGTGCTGCAGAGCTGTGTGGTGTTGATATTTTTAAAGCATAGTCATTTTCAGACAGGTTTTCTAAAGTTCTTGCTTTATGGGTTTTGGAGAGAGGTTCTGGCGAGAGACTATCAAAAAAGGGGGGGAGTGGAGGGAAGTGTTTGCAGTCTTTGGAGGTTAATAATTCCTGGAAAAAACTCCTGGCAAATTCCAACTTACTGAATTTTCGCAGAAAATGTTTGTTTGAATTTGACCACTTTAAATGAGTTTCTTGTGTAAGTGTCTTTACCTAGTGGAAGTCGGAGTCATGAATTGGTTTTTACACACAAAGTCCAACGGCCTGGCCAAAGCATACAGAACTCTTCTCTCTGAAATATTTTATTTATTTATTCTGGAGTTGGAGGACAGCTTGGAGACATGTCTCTTGGCCAGCGGCCTGTTACAGTGGTATTTGCTGTGATGTCCTTTCGTTTCGAGACCATGGACTTCTGCTGTATTTCTAGGATTGTGCGGTGAAATAATTTCGAACTAGTATAATTTTGGGGCTGTTTTTCAGCATCCCAGGCCAAAGCTTCAGTTGTTGACTTCAAGTATTTGTGTCCTTGCTAGACTGCAGTACAGAATGTACACCTTTGATCCCCCACTCATCCTGGGGCAGTCAATGAGACCACCAATGGTGCTTTTCATGCAGTCTAATATGTGTCGACCATTTGTAGCCTAGGCCAGGCATTGCCCAGGTCCACCTGGAAACGTTTGGGCTTTCTTCCAGCATTCAAGGTTCACTGAGAACTGCACAGCTTTTCAGCTGAAGCTTGTCCTTGCTTTGGCTTGTATGGCTGGCCCAGTCCAGAAGGTAGAGTGATGCAGCTGCTGGAAGAAGGGATGAAGAATCTGTGCCCCTCCAGATGTCATTGGACTACAACTCACATCATTCCTGATCACTGACCACGCTGTCTGTGGCTGAAGGTAGTTGGAGTCCAACAGCATCTGCAGAACTGCTGGTTCCACATCCCTGGCCTCAGGCATCTGATTCTGGGGCATCGTATAGTGGTCAGGTATTTATCATCACCACCACCATCATTATAATTTTACTGTCAGGTAGAGGCCAAATATAACTTGGCCAGGGGATACCAAAACTAATGGAAGACGAGAGGCGGGGTGCTGAATTTTGGCATCACACAGGCTGCTGCTGAAATTTGATCCCAAGATATGCTACTGATGACACCAAACTAGAAGGGCTAGCTAATGCTGCAGAAGACAAAATCGGGGCTCAGTATGACTGTAACAGATTGGAGAACTATGACAAAACGAACTGTGCCCTTCTGAATATAGGGGCATAGAAGAAGAAGAAGAAGAGTTTGGGTTTGATATCCCACTTTATCACTACCCGAAGGAGTCTCAAAGCGGCTAACATTCTCCTTTCCCTTCCTCCCCCACAACAAACACTCTGTGAGGTGCATGGGGCTGAGAGACTTCAGAGAAGTGTGGCTAGCCCAAGGTCACCTAGCAGCTGCATGTGGAGGAGCGGAGACGCGAACCTGGTTCCCCAGATTACGAGACTACCGCTCTTAACCACTACACCACACTGGCATACAGAAGGTTAAGCAGGTATAACCAGCTGCACAATAGTACATTGCCAGTAATACATGTGAAACAGATCTAGGGGTCTTAGTGGACCACAAACTGAACATGAATCAACAGTGTGATGCAGCAGTAGCAGCAAAGAAAGAGCTAATGCTATTCTAGGCTGCATCAACAGAAGTATTGTGTGCTGATCAAGGGAAGTCATAGCACTGCTCTGTTGTGCCTTGGTCAGAACACACCTTGAGGCATGTCACACATATGAATGGGGGTGAAGATGAAATCAGGGTCATGAAAAGGTCTGCAGAATTGGAGGGGATGATGGCTTTGTAATAGGGCGGAAAGTGAAAAGTGTGTTTAGTAGTTGCAATGTGAGGGAGGAGGAAGATCATACTCTCCAAGTGTCCTGATTTAAATGGGACATCATGTTTTGACAGAAACCACCCTGGTTTATAATCCCAAACCAGGGTGTCCCATTTTGGCTCCCATGCTCTGGCCTTGCCCGAGTGCAGGACCAACAGGCAGGCATTTTGGGGTTATGCGCTGTGGATAAACATTTTAGATAAGGGGTAAAAGTAAAGGTACCCCTGACCAGTTCCAGTTGCGGACGACACTGGGGTTGCGGCGCTCATCTCGCTCTATAGGCCAAGGGAGCCGGCGTTTGTCCACAGACAGCTTCTGGGTTGTGTGGCCAGCATGACTAAGCCACTTCTGGTGAACCAGAGCAGCGCACAGAAACACTGTTTACCTTCCCGCCGGAGTGGTACCTATTTATCTACTTGCACTTGATGTGCTTTCGAACTGCTAGATTGGCAGGAGAAGGGACCGAACAGGGCTCACCCCCTCACAGGGATTCAAACTGCCAACCTTCCGATCGGCAAACCCTAGGCTCTGTGGTTTAGACCACAGTGCCACCCACATCCCTGTAGATAAGGGATAGAGCAAGGCTATAGTTCAGTTGGTAATGCATGAGATTCTTAATCTCAGGGTCAGGGGTTTGAGCCCCATGTTGGGCAAAAAGATTCCTGCATTGCAGGGGGTTGGACTAGATTTTCCACACGGTCTCTTCCAACTCTATGATTCTATGCTTTTTCTGATCTCTCTCTCTCTCTCTTGTCATCTGCATTTCAGTTCAGTTCTCCAAAGAAAGAAAGAAATCTTGCCGAAAGCAAATTTTATCTCACAAAGGCAGTAACTAAAAAACAGAAAGAACTTTACCCACAGAAGGGGGAAATAATCCAAATTAAGTTTTACAAGGAGGAAACTCAACGTTCCTCCAGCATTTTGGGACGGCCACACACCAAGACAAAACACGCACACTTCCCCCTATTCCAAACTATGCCCCACAAGAAGAAAAAATGCCCGGCATAACATTAGCCCTACCCACTGACATTAAAACAGTGGATCCAACAATCCATTAACCAAGTCTGTCAACTCCAAGCACCCCTTTCAATCTACTGCTGTGTTTGACAGGCATCCAGGCCATACCACAAATCAAGATTGTGGTGTGTCTGTGAGTGAGTGCTGGTATATGGACATTTTGTCATAGTTCTGAAAACAGTCCACAGTCATATGCTACCTATGTTTCCATTTTGGAAAAGAACCTTACCGCCTTGGATATCCTCACTCTAGGAAGCACAATTTCCATCTTTCCAGTATCATGACCTAGACCCATATTTATTTATTTCTTTTCATTTTTGAGCACTTCAGCAGAATACTATGATATACAAGTCCTTTAGTTCTCACATTTATACCATAGAGTGCTCATGACCAAAACGGTGTATTATTTTAGACATGTAACACTTTCCTTGCATGTAAACACATGAGATCGCATGTGGTTTAATCCACTTCTCATAGAAGAATCTTGACGTAATCCAGTGCTGGATTAAACCCTGTGGAGGCTCCTAGGCAGCTGAAATCTCAGGGTGGGGTGGGGGCTCGCAAGTTATCTCCTAATACATTTTTTTCTTTCAAGATCACATGAATATTATTTTGATCCATTGTTGCAGGGCCCCTAAGAGGTGCGGGGCCCATAGTCCAGTGCCTAGTCTGCCTGGCATTGTCTATTTGAGCATTTATCCCCCCCCCAAAACTGCTGGTACAAGCTGGTCTTCCTTAGCACCAAAACTCAAATATTAATTTATTATTTATACCCCGCCCATCTGGCTGGGTTTCCCCAGCCACTCTGGGCAGCTCCCAACATAATATTAAAAACACACTAAACCATCAAACATTAAAAACTTCCCAGTACAGGGCTGCCTTCAGATGTCTTCTAAAAGTCAGATAGTTATCTATCTCCTTGACATCAGAAGGGGCAGGCACCACTCCCAAGAAGGCCCTGTGCCTGGTTCCCTGTAACCTTACTTCTCGCAATGAGGGAACTGCCAGGAGGCCCTCGGAGCTGGACCTCACTGCCCGGGCAGAACGATGGGGGTGGAGACATTCCTTCAGATATACTGGGCCGAGGCTGTCAGACCAACATACTGGGAGCCAATGTAGGTCTTTCAAGACCAGTGTTATATGGTCTCAGCTTCTACTCCCAGTAGGCAGCCCTGTTTAGGGAGGTCTTTAATGACTGATGTTTTAATGAATTTTTAAATATTTGTTGGAAGCCACCCAGAGTGGCTGGGGAAACCCAGCCAGATGGGCGGGGTATAAATAATAAATTATTATTAATTATGATTAGCTGCCACATTGTGGATTACTTGTAGTTTCTGGGTCACCTTCAAAGGTAGCTCCACGTAGAGCTCATTGCAGTACTCCAAAGCAGTCCATTCAAAGCGTTGATGCATGATCCCTGTGCCTAGTAACACATGTAGAATGCATATCTCATAAGGACATAAGAAAATCCCCTCTAAATCAGGTCCAAGGCCCATTAAGTTCAGGATCTTTTTCTTTTTTATATAAGATATTTATTAGGATTTTTTTTAAAATATTACAATAAAAAATGAAAAAGAAAAAAAAATACAAAATAAAAATGATTAAAAACACTCAAATTTTCCATTGCTTATTTTTCCTTAGCTTGTTTCCCCGGACCTCCTCGTACCTCCCTTTTTTGTATTCCAGTTCAGTTTGTTGGTTCAGCAAATCCTTACCCTCTTTATTTATCCTAATCTTTGGTCTTAAAATAGTAACGTTAGATTTTTACCTCTTAACAACCCATTTTTCATATTCCCTTAAAGCATTACAGCTAGAAACCACTTAATTTCTATCCAACATCGTTCTAACATTCATTAATTTTACAATATTAATCATGGAGTTTTATGAAGAAGAACCTACAGGGGATGGGGGTAGGCCAAGGTTTTGAAAACGGTATAAGTGCAATTTATTCAGAACAAAAGGCTAAACTAATTGTAAATAATGTGGTGACGGAAGAATTCAGGATAGAAAAAGGAACAAGACAAGGTTGCCCAATTTCCCACTGCTTTTTATATCGGTCCTGGAGGTTCTGCTGAATATGATTAGAAGGGACCGATTGGTTAAAGGTATACAGGTCGGAGCCAAACAGTACAAATTGAGAGCATTTGCAGATGACTTAGTATTGACGTTACAGGAGCCAGAATCTAGTACCAAAAGAGTTTTAGAACTGATTCAAGAATTTGGTCAAGTTGCAGGATTTAAGTTGAATAAGTTAAAGACCAAGGTTTAACACCAATGGAGAGAGAGAGCTTTCAGAATGAGACAGGTTTAACAGTGGTTAAGAAAGTTAAATACTTGGGGATTAACATGACAGCAAAAAATGGGAATTTATTTAAAGACAACTATGAAAAATGCTGGGCTGAAGTGAAAAAGATTTAGAAATTTGGTCAAATTTGAAGCTTTCACTGCTGGGCCGTATTGCTGCGGTAAAAATGAATGTATTGCCTAGAATGTTGTTTTTGTTTCAAACATTGCAAATTGTGGACAAAATGGACTGTTTCAAGAGGTGGCAGAGAGATATTTCTAAATTTGTCTGGCAGGGCAAGAAGCCTAGAATAAAATTTAAAATATTAACAGATGCAAAGGAAAGAGGTGGATTTGCCCTGCCAGACTTTAAACTTTACTATGAATCAGCAGCTTTTTGCTGGTTGAAAGAATGGTTGCTTCTTGAAAACACTGACATTTTGGATTTAGAAGGTTTTAACAATGTATTTGGATGGCATGCATATCTGTGGTATGATAAGGTCAAAGCACATAAAGCATTTAAAAATCACATTGTCAGGAAAGCATTGTTTAATGTCTGGATAAGATACAAGGACTTATTGGAACATAAAACTCCAAGGTGGCTGTCACCGATGGAAGCAAAAGCTCTGAAAAAGCTCAATATGGAGGCCAAATGGCCGAAATATTGGGAAATTTTGGAACAAGACGGAGATAGACTGAAATTGCAGAGTTTTGAGAAATTAAAAAACAAAGTGCGAGACTGGCTTCATTATTATCAGATAATGGAGGCATATAATTTGGATAAGAAAATTGGTTTCCAGGTGGAAAAATCAAAATTAGAAACAGAACTATTAGAACCCAAAACTAAGATTTTGTCAAAGATGTATAACTTGCTGTTGAAATGGAATACTCAGGATGAAACGGTGAAATCTGCTATGATTAAATGGGCACAAGATGTTGGTCATAACATAATGATGGCTGACTGGGAACAGTTATGGACCACAGGTATGAAGTTTACGGCATGTAATGCCCTAAGAGAGAATATTATGAAAATGATATACAGGTGGTACATGACCCCAGTCAAGCTTGCAAAAATTTATCATTTGCCCGATAACAAATGTTGGAAATGTAAAGAAACTGAAGGTACATTCTCTCACCTTTGGTGGACGTGCCCAAGGATTAAGGCTTTCTGGGAAATGATATATAATGAACTGAAAAAGGTATTTAAATATACCTTCTTGAAGAAACCAGAGGCCTTTCTCCTAGGCATAGTCGGTCAATTGGTGCCAAAGAAGGATAGAACCTTTTTTATGTATGCCACAACAGCAGCAGGAATACTCATTGCAAAGTATTGGAAGACACAAGATTTACCCACTCTGGAAGAATGGCAGATGAAGTTGATGGACTATATGGAACTGGCAGAAATGACTGGCAGAATCCGAGACCAGGGAGAAGAGTCGGTGGAAGAAGATTGGAAGAAGTTCAAAGATTATCTACATTAAGTTCAGGATCTTGTTCTCACAGTGGTCAACCAGATGCCAATGGGAAGCCCCCAAGCATGTCATGAGTGCCACAGCTCTCTCCCTACTTATGATTCCCTGCTGTTGGAATTCCATGGCAGTAGAGGTAGAACATAGCTAGTAACTACTGGTGGTCCTATTTTCCATGAATTTCTTTAATCCTCTTTTAAAGCCATCCAAGTCTATGATCCTTGCTATGCCATGAGGGAGCTAATTCTGTTTAAGCATGTAACTTTGCAAATTAGTTCTTTTGTTTAATTATGAATTTTCTTTAAAAAACCCAACAATTCTCTCATAGAGAGAAGAACTCAATGATTGTATTTTTGCAAGAAGATATGAATGACATTTATTTATGAATGAATGAATGAATGACACCACTTTTCATCTTATTGGTATGAGCTTATCGTATCTGAAGAAGTGTGCATGCACATGAAAGCTCATACCAAGAACAAACTTAGTTGGTCTCTAAGGTGCTACTGGAAGAAAATTTTTTAAATTTTGTTTCGACTACAGCAGACCAACACGGTTACCTACCTGTAACTAGAACTATGGAAGGCACCATATTGAGCCACATGAAATGGAAGTCCATCAACAGGTATCTGAAGAAGTGCGCATGCACAAGAAAGCTCATACCAATAACAGTATTTTTCGCGCTATAAGACGCACCAAACCACAAGATGCACCTAGTTTTTGGTGGAGAACAACAAGAAAAAAAGTAGTCTGAATCTCAGAAGCCAGAATAGCAAGAGGGATTGCTGCGCAGTGAAAGCAGCAATCCCTCTTGCTGTTCTGGCTTCTGTGATAGCTGTGCAGCCTGCATTCGCTCCATAAGACGCACACACATTTCCCCTTAC